GTAGTGCGGACTGCTGTATAGTAGCTGCGTTTGTTGCACAAAGCTGCATTTTCACTGCGCCATGCTGCACGCTTTTGTTGTGCTGCGGGACCTTGCAAGTGCGCACGAGGCGTACATTGTGTCGAGCACGGCTAACTAAGGCCGGGTGGCTGCAGTTTTACTAGGGGGAACGAGAGTATGGTGTAGGAGGTGCGGTCAAAACCCACGAAGAGGGAGTCAACGGTACAACCCCGGGGGTCGTCAGAAGTTCGGCTGCGACTGATTGATCCAGGTGATGACCACGCGGTTGTTATCTTGGCCATTATTGCGGGGCCCTCAGGCATTGGAAGATAACAAGGCCCTCTCTCGCAAGACTTAGAGCACCATTCTTGGATCTGAGAGTCTCTACCTTTATATTTCTATCCTTTCTAACTCTCAGTCTAGTCCTGTTGTTACGAGAGGAAGGCGGCATGTGGGATTGCAACCAGTAGGTCCGCATCAAGACTTTGTGGGGAGTCCACCCACCGATTGAGGGAGCTCTGCCGGAACCTAGGCGAGGTTCTGGAGGCAGGGAACCTTCAGGTAAATCATCTTCATCCGTACAGCCTACTACTACCCATGTTTGCCTATATCCCTCTGCAGTATGATTATTGTATGCATACGATTGTCCCTATGGTTTTTGCTTTCTCTTCAGGACCGAATCACACTAACTGGAAAGAATGTGTGAGGGTGAAGCCTAAGTTTCTACTTTGTTCTGATTGAAAGCAGACTAAGGATGAATTGGGGGAAGGTGGAAGGAAGGTAGACTGCATGCGTTTGACCAGGTCAACCAAAGCCTGAGCATTGTTTCTACTGTGAATGACTCAGGACTATGTTTATTTGGCTGTTTTCTGAAGGACCAGTCATTGTTTCTATTGTGAATGGCCTCGTCGCTGTGTTTATTTGATTGTTTTCTGGGGAGTCAGGCATTGTTTCTACTGTGAATGGTCTGGCTACCCTAGTTAACTCTGAGGGTTGCCTGATTGAAAGGGTTTAAATTCTTGTTTATTTTGAGGGAGAAATTTTGGTCCAAGGCTAAGCATTGTTTCCATGGTGAATGGTTTAGCCTGAAAACCGCGCACAGAATTTAAACTAAGTATAAAGGAAAGTATTTTATGTATATTTGCATGTGAACTGGCAGCTGGGCATTGTTTCTACTGTGAATGGTCCAGCGTTAAGCCATATCATTCAGAAGAGAAAAAGAAAAATACAAAGTATAAATGGAAATAGTTTGGGCAAGCTGAACATTGTTTCTACTGTGAATGGTTCAGTCCCCTGCCCATATTTGCTTTTTCTTTTGAAAACAAAGTCAGAGAAATACTAAATTTTTGGATTTTAAACAGCTCAGGACGACTAAGCATTGTTTTCATGGCGAATGACCTAGTCATCTGCCCAAAAGAAGAAAGAAGTAGTTGGGCAACCTGTTCGTATATATCATGAAGACAAGCTGGACATTGTTTCCATGACGAATGGTCCAGCTCTATGTCTTTTGTAAGATGGGTATAAGGATTCAATAACTTGAAGATTCATGAACTATCTATATGGAATAAACTTGGGGTGGTGAGAGTACTTACATTTGTGGTTTGGTTTGCACGTGACTGGATGGGATGACTAGTTTATTTAAGTTTCGTTACTATAGGTAGCTGCTGTAGTTGTTCGCCACGTGCTAGAGCCATAGGAGTTACTGTCAATTCCTGTTTTTTCTGTAATAATTTTTTTTACTTAAGTCATTTCCTGCATTTTCTGATATCTTTTTCTTATACTTGGCTTTGTATAAATCTTGGCAAGCTACTTTTCCTACGGGAAGCGCTGCCGAAATTTCTACAAATCCAACAAACTAGTCAACTTGACTTGTCAGAGTTCAACCTGTCTTTTCCATATATCTGGCTTAGTTAAAATCTGGGAAGTCTCCGTTTCTAAAGGGAGTGTTGCCCAAAATTTTGCTACTTCAAGGAGTTAGACAAAATTGAACTTTGGGAAGTCAAAGTTACTTTCAAAATCTGAACTTAGTCTTGTATAAATTTTGGAATAGCACTTTTCTAGAGAAAGTGCTGCCGAAATTTCTTACAAAATTAAAGGAGTTAGTTAAATTCAGTCTAAAGTTGAACTCGAGCTGTTGTTCGAGTTCATATCTGACTTAGTATAAATCTGGGAAGTCTCTTTTTCTAAAAGGAGTGCTGCCCAAATTTCTACTAATTGAGAGAGTTAGACAAAGTTTGATTCTCCAGAGTTAAAGATTGTTTCTGTTCTTATATCTGACTTAGTATAACTCTGGGAAGTCTACTTTTCTAAAGCGGGTGATGCCCAAATTTCTACTAATTCGGAGAGTTAGATAGAATTTTGACCTTCCAGACTTAGAGATTATTTCGACGTTCATATTTAGACTTATATAAACTCTGGAAAGACACTCTTTCTACGGGAAGCGCTGCCGAAATTTTTCTTAGTTTAAAGGAGATAGACTATATTTTGACAGGTGGCGATTCAGGCGACCCACCCAAAATAAGGGAGATTCTGCAGTTGGTTTACCCTAAGCCTAAGCATTGACTTAAAAATAGGCCTAGGTTTAACTTTTAGGGAGATTTTGAGCAAGAATGAATTATGAAATTGTATTCTCCATACACTTATGATTTTAGCTTGGGGATTATTCTTCCGTGTGTTACAGGTTTTTTTTCCAAAGTTCAGGGCTAGATCCAACTTGATCCTTTTGAGGATCACTTTCCGTTATCGTTCATAAAAGGTCGGTTGCCGATTCGTTGGTCTACGACTCAATTTTAATTTTCCCTCCACACTCAACCTAAACGACTTTAGCTCTGGTGATCTTCGTTGTTTTATTAAGGTTTTCACCCGGACTTTTATTGAATGACCATTTAACAAAGGTACTGAGTATTTAATTAAGGTTGGTTGGACAGAAGGTTTTAGGGCTTGTATGGCTAAAGCGARGGGTATGAGTGTCGAAGGTGGTTGGGATTGACTCCGTGTAATGTGTGGGTTGTTGATTTGGTTCGTTGATGTGACTGCAGGTATGTGCTGTGAGTCAGATTCTGGATTTGGTTGCCTGCGATCACACATATACGTATTATTGTGAGAAACCCCAGTGAGACCGTGAAAAGTGATTGTCAYATACTTAACCCTTATATACGTATACATGGGTATACTTGGGATGAATGTTTGCATGGGTTGAAGAATCCCCATATTAAAGCCCTACTCAGAAGTTGGGACTGAGGAACTTAGGGGAGGCCCCTACTTCTATTTTTGTTCCTGCTTTTTGATGATTTTCTTAGTCGGACGTTTGTTCCTGGGCTGGGATTCGAGGTCCTTGTCCAGGACATCCCAAGCCCTAGGCTCTGCAGGGGAGGGGTTTTCCCTCGCGCAGAGCCTATTTGATTTGCCTACCGAGACACTCAGGTCGAGAGCCTAAGGTGCAGCGGCGGCTGCACGACTATCCTTCAGCCGTGCAATGTCGTGAAGGGTTAGGCCCTCACGACACTTCAAGTCTGACACTTGAGTGTTATAAGCGATACTTGGATCCACGAGGGACCGCTTGATTATGGGCACTACATAGTACGCCATCGTTGCGACTGCTTGTGTACGCCTGCATTGCGAGTTGATATGCGATAGCCCTGCATCCGCGCGGTTTTATACTAAGTTCAGCGCGCGACGCCTATCCGATTTCCGCATTGGAAAGTTATGGGTTGGCTACCGAGGGGCTAGGAGCGTTGTCGCGTTGTTGGTATTGTGTCGTTTCGTATATATGTTGTTTTGTGTGTACGTGTATTCGTAAAGTGGAGTGCGCGTGGTGTGTGGGATGCATCCTAGTTGAGCGACGATGAATCGCGCTTAGGACCTCAGCCCCCCCAAGATGTCGGTTCGCGTGCGGGTCCGATAGAGGCGTATTACCGCGCGTACCCCCTATGCTACAGCGAACGAGAAACGCCCTCGGCTGGTCCACCTCTGCGATTGCAACTGATTAGCTTTCGTACTATGGATCGGTAGCTCGGCGGGGATACGCCCACCGAAGGGAGGTGACAGCTCCCGTAAGGTGTAGGTTAGTCGTGCCTCGCGTAGGCCCTATCCTGTCGTAGGGCCTCGCGAGAGATATGGCTGGCGCACCCGGCCGGAGCGGCTTGTGGAAGCTCCATGTATATTGCGACGAAGGGTTTTAAAACCGACTCCTGCGTGACGCGACCGGGAGGGTCCCGCGCTGCCCCCGTGCGGTGCCGGATCGATGCGCCCGACAGCGGGAAGAAAGCAGAGAAAGTCAGTGCTTACCAGGCCTAGCTACCACTTCACCAGAGCCCACCGACGACAGTTTTAGCACGATTGGCACCCCTGCGCGCATCGACGAGGCGACGACGTGCTTCAAACCCACAGGGAAACTTGACAGGCTCGAGATGTCGGCGTCGATGACCGTAGACGGTATATTCGTCTCTGGACAAAGATCGCCGATATCCACAACATCGGTAGGTTGTGTTTTCTCCATTGTCACTGTGTCGTATTGTGTTGGGCTCAATGTCCCATGGATGTCCAACAACACCTCTCCCCCCCTTAACTTCTTGTCCCCGTACGCTGTGTCTTTGTCGTCGTCACTCAAATAGAGAAATCTATCTCCAACAGCGTCAGAGGCCTTCTTCAGATCGTCCTCCCCCGTCGCCTCGTTGTGAAGGGCGGAGTACAAGGGATCGTCGTATCCCAGCTGAACTGGTAGCTCCATCCCGACGTCCTTGAGTGTCGGATCAATCCGGTCGTCCGCGGAATTGTCCTCGTCCAAAGTCGTCAGTAGTCGACAATCCTCAACGCCAGTTGAAGTCCTTTGTCCATGTGCCTCGGATGAATCCGAATCACGGTCGTCTCTAAAGATGCATTAGGGAGGGAGATGTTCACAGGGCCCTGGTTCGGATTCATCTGAGCCCCCGCAGTTTCCAATGACGCCGACATGACCGCTTTCACCGGGGAGTCCCTTACGATTGCTAACTCGACTTCGAGTCTGTTGGGCTCGACATTGGAACTGGTCGCCTACTCACCCTCAGTCCGACAGTCCGCCTGCAGCTCCTTGTGGGCTTCCACGCACAGCATTACTGCATCCTGACACCGATCGTCTGTCATCGCAGACACGGCTTCTTGGTTCGGATGAATCCGAATTCCGTCGCCAGGGTTTTCGGAAACTCGGACCACCCGTTCGAGTTCTTTAGACAGCTGTGCTCCCTCGATGGCACGGCCTTCGCGGTTCGGATTAATCCGAAATTCCTTCTGAGGTGAAACGGAACACGGTTCCAGCTTGTCGTTGTCGGACCCATGGTATGTTGTCGTCTCGCTTCCCGGAAGGCATTGAGTTCCGGACAACGAGGTCGTCTCTGAGGTTCGGATTGATCCGAGACAATCCGCCAACCGTTTTTGCAGCTGAGCGAAGCATGTTCCATGCTTTGCGACACCCGCCCCGCCAACCGCATCGACAAACTGTGTTTCGCTGGTGGAGCTAATCACAGGGTCCTGCTCGCCAGGCCGCGTTATACACCCAGACCTCAAGTCGTTCCCCGTCTCCATTGAGGTGCTGCCTGTTACCGCCAGAACCCCACCTTCCTTGTCGGGGTCGCCATCAGCCCCCTGCCCGTCTCCTCTGTGATGCTTTGTCTTCTCTTCGCTGCGAGGATTCTTCTTCTCCCGGCTGCCCTTTTTCCCCTCTCCGCCGCCTGCGTGCCTCGGAGACCGCTGTTCCGTCGAACGATGTTCACTTCCACCTCCGGTACCTCGTTGCCCGCCGCCTTCACCATCCCGGTCGCCGTCCTTTCCGCGAGACTTGCGCTTCACAACTCCTGCCGGCGGGGTGACCCCAGGCAACTCCCAACTCACTTGCTTAATTGACGGGCTTGACGGAAGGGCGTAGAATGCGGAGGACACTTCCAACCATTTATTTGACTGCAAGAACTCGAACAGCGTGTCCCCGTATTCGCGAAGAGCAGGGTCGTCCTTATTTCGTCGATTGACCTCACTTAATCTCTCCAATACCGCCTCGTAGGCGTGAGATTTGAATGTCTCGAGGTCCCAACGATCGTCATATATCCACCCTCCACTTACGTCCCTCACAGCCACTGCCCATTCGCCGTCGAGAAGGACTGGCTGGAAATGGTCCGGGTGCCACACGATATCATGGCCCCAATCTTCGGCTGTGGAGAAGGTGTGTTTGTCGCCCATATGGAAGGGAGTCGCAGGAGCCTTGAGATGCGGATGGTCCGGAGGAACTGGATGGCCGGGTCGAAGACGTTCGGGCTGCGGCGTGAAACGAATAGGCTCCCCTAGCGAACTCCTCAGACGGGACAACCCACCCCTCTTGACAGGCGCTGGGGAGGACACGGGCGTAGGACCACCCGAGGTAGGTGTAGCGAGAGGTGTCCCCGGTTTGCATACTGATGGCGACTCGGAAATTTGGGCGTTGAAGATGGTCAATTCTCCGTCCAAATCGAAGAGGTCGTCCTCAACGCTCTCCTCCTGCTCAGTCTCGATATTGAAGTCGTCCTCCTCACCGAATGCCAGCTTGTACTTATCCAAAGTGAAGTCGGCCGGATCGACAACATCCTCGTTAAAAATGACATATTCCAGCCTCTTAATGAAGCTCACAGCGCCGGCCCGACTCGCTCCATGGTAGCCCTGGAGGACCTCAATGACGACTTCCTTCCGCACCACGTACTGCGGGTCAAATCTCAACCTTGGTTGTTCGCTGTAAAGGAAGGAGTAGACCTGGTGTCTTTTCTTCGGAGTCAACTTGAAGAACATGTCTTTGTTCGGGTCATAAACGGGCTCGACCACGACATGGTGGAAATCACATGGGTAAGCCTTGGACGACACTTCATGGGTGACATACTGCACGGTGTATTCGAGCTCCGTTGTGTCCCCATCCACGGCCAAGACGTGCCTTCCCTGCTGAAGCAGACTCCACACCACCTGCGTGTGCGGCTTGCCAAAGAACAGCACGGCATCCGCCACACCACAGAAGAAAAGAAGCTGATTGCACAACTGATTCGGATTCCGCTCGCCGTCCTTGTACAGAGCCCCCCTCTGGGTCAGGTTTCCGATGTCCGCGAAAGTCAAAGACTTGAAAAACTTCTCCTCCACATCCGTGAGTGTGACTTTCTGTTTCCTTCGGAGAGCGGCGGCGTCGTCTTCAGCAACAGCTCCCTCGTACATCGGGTGAGTCAGTAGCCGAGGATCCTCGCCTTTGAAAAGGATGTGTATCACATCCGGCTCCTCCCAGACGCTATTTCCGAACTGATGCGTCTTCTTCGATGCCGTCTTCCGAACCCACTTTCCCGTGTAGCATCGGGTAGCCCCAAGCGCAGACAAACATGTCATGAAGGATAGGTTCCACAGGCAGGGGACGAATACCACCAATGTCCAGTAGTCCTGACAAACGAAGCCCAGCAACTCACTCAGAGACGCGAATGCCCCAGAGTCCCATTGCGCACGGTCAACAGTTCCGCACAAGTCGAGCACGCAAGCGTGGGAGCGTAGTTGATGCCCTAGTTTTCCCAGCGCGAGCTTATGATCTATGGCAGTCAATGGGTCGACGTTAAACTGGGCCAGCGTCGTCAAGGCGCTTGTCCTTGTCCACATAATGTTGATGCATTCATCAACGCCCCGAGGGCTTTTTTTGCCTTTGGCGCGATCTCCAGTGATCACCGAAAGGACGACACGCTTCCACTCCGCCGGGAAATGCTGGTCGTTGACGAGGGCCGCCGTTCTCTTGATGTTGTTGTCGTGTTGACACCCGAGAAACTGAGGGCACTTGTTGACGTATGTGGTGTCCGTGAAAAATTTCTTGCTCTCGTTCCAAAGCTTGTCGTTGAGACCTCTGTCCTTAAACTCTTCGAACAGTTGCTTCTTGGACCTGAAGAACGTGGAGTTGGCATTCCACTCTCGGTTATCCATTTCCTCGTACTCAAACTCCACGTAGTGACACAGCCTCAACATAATCCGGTCCATTTTTATTATGTCGACCATCTCCTTGACACTGAACTTCCCCTGCTCGGCCAACTTTTTGCTACTCGGTTGAACCTACACGACGTTAAGGTTCAAGACGCCGTTTAACAGCCTTTCCTTTTCGCGGTCCGTCAAGTCCACCAATTCCTTCCAGCAGTGGACATCCGGCTCCGGAACTTGGATGTAGAAAGTTTTCTCCTCCGCGCCTTTCTTTGGCTTCCCCTTCCCCTTTTTCAACGACGGGTCGTCCACCTTCACATACCAGACGTGTTTCTTCAGCCCCTGGCTGTCAGTCACAGTGGAGAGGCCTGGCTTGGCCACCTCCTCATGGGTGGGCAGCTTTTCAGTCCAACGCCGGCCGTCGGAAGCAAGGATTTTCCCTTTCGACCACTCCTCATAGAACTTCAACCCCAAAGCGAAGACGGAGTCATCTGCCATGGCCAGCGGGAGGTAGTATCGAAGTTTCTCAGCCCATTCCTTTCTTTTCTTTGCTTCCGTTGACAGGTTCCAGATAGGCGTGTACGGCGTCTTTTTCATTGCCAACGCCATGAACCGCATCCACTTTCGCACCTCGTCCTGTTTCTTCGAGGCATTGCTGAGCACCACACGCGGTTTGCCCTTTATTTTCCAGATATTGTGAATGTCCCATATAGACAAAACCAGCAAGCGCGGTGGATTCTTCTTGTCTTTCATGTTGTCTTCGCAGCTGACATGGGCATAGCCGTCGAACTCGTCGTCATCGAAGTAGATCGGTCTGAACGCCCATTTACAGAAGTTGTAGTAATCAAACACGGGATGGTCTTTCACCATCATCACCGCCCTCACGTTATGCTGTCCACACACAAGATAATACCAGTTTTTCTCCGGGTGTGAGCTGTCGAAGTCAGCAGGCAGCACGCGCACAGCAGGCTCGCCGTTCTCTGGAGGCACGGCGATCGGAGCGAGAACGAAAATGGGCTTCGTGTATCTCATGTCTTTACGTTCCTAGCAGTCGATCATAGCCGACGCGATGGTATCAACGAGGAACTCGTCCAAGGATCGGTGGTTGTACGCATCTTCCCAGTCTGGAATAGCTAAAATTCTTTCGGGATGGATGTGCAACATGGCGTCCTTCTGCACCCCTGTCTGCATCTCGAGGAAGAACACATTGTCGAGGTTAAAGGCGTTGAGGTTAATCTCCACGTCATCATCCCCCTCCCCGCTGTCGCCCTCGTCTGCTTTCTTCCCCCTCGATGATTTCGCCCTTTTCCCGGAAGACTCACCGGTTCTTCGCTGTGTCGACGAGTCTTTTGGCGTTTCATCCCCACCTCCAACCCTTTTCCTCTTCTCAACGGAACCGCCCTCTCGTGTTGTTGGCGTCAGAGCACTCCCTCCTACCTTTCTCTGCCTTTTCAGAGCACCTAGTCCCTCTCGCTCTTCCTCCTCCGGCAAGTTGCGCTTGCCTCCCGACTAAGTCTTTTCAGCTGATCTCTCACCGAACAGCCCCTGCTCGGACACCTCCTCCTCACCGGCGACGTTCCCACTCGCTTCTCGTTCCTGGCTCAACTCCGTCTGTAGTTCCCCCGGCGCTGGTCGGGCCCGGCGAGTCGTCTCATCTGACCCACGTACGTCTCGAACCTGCGGACCACCCGCTCGATCTCCAGGCGAAACCTCGGCCACCTGCATGCCACGAACGAACGAACCGATCCTTTTGACCAGACCACGAGGAGTCGTTGATTCTGAGCCCTGTTGCAACCGTTCGCCATCGCCGCCTCCATGTGGCGTTGACTCCCCAAGCAAACCGTGGCGGCGAGATACATGCAAGCCCGGTTTCAAAGGAGCACGTAGATGGTCGTCCTCCGAGTCGTCTGACATGCCCACCTCTTGACCAGGAGGCGTAGCTGGCAGGCCACCCTGACCTCCCATCTCCCTTTCAGAGCACTCTCCTCCCGCGAACCCAACAGGACCACTGATCGATGTTCCAGGTCCGACGTCCATGGCATTGACAGAGGTACCAAATTTCGCCCAGACCTCGAGGAAGTCTGTGACGTGAACGGCCTCGTCGTGCCCCGGCGCTAGCGGGAGAAAGTGAGGCAAAGACATCGCACGATGGCCGTACCTGCGGAACATCCTCCCGGCAACCTTGCATCCCTTTGCGATGCCGTCGACAGAACCATCACTTTTGTAATGCTTCTTCAACGTAAACTTGAAATTGAATTCGCCATCGTCGACCCACTGGACGATGGACCCTGCGAGACGCATTTTGTCGGCGCGAACGGCGACGAACAAGAGAGGCCCGCACGGTGGTTGCAACGGGTGGGAGCCGTCCTGGCTCGCCCAGTCCAAATACCAGACACGTTTGCTGTAGTCGCACCACAAGTTTTGAGCACGTCGTTCTTCCTCCCCACCTCCAA